GCGCCCACTTGGCCATCAACATCGGCATCACGATGCACCACGTCTTCATCGCGCTACAGCTCGATGGTCAGATTACGTGGGGGTGGATCTGGGTCTTCTTCCCGTTCGTCGTCACAACATTGCCCGAGCACGCGACCCTGTTCACAATCGTTGCGTGGGCTCAAATGGTGCTTCTCGCCCCGCGCCTTGACGCTGCAGTCCTCTGGTCTTGGCCCGTCGTCTTTTTGCCCCTGGAGCTCTACGCGATGGGCAGCCTCGTCTCCTGCGTATGTGGTCGATTGCTATGGATCGACGAATAAGCACTACTACGCTGGATAGGTGTATTACACGCCATGCAGTACCGAGCGTCCACCGCTGACGGTGGCGATGGCGTCACTGACAGCTTGCACGCTGTTGCTTGTGGCGCCACTGGGCCTGCTTCTGGCACGGCTCGAGGGATGTGAGTTTCCGACCAGCCGCCTTCTGGTGCCGTGGTTTCTTCTCTATGGCTTTCTAATGCTTTGGGTATAGCGTGCATACTCGTACCACATTAAGCTCATTGTCGTCTGGGGGTAGGGCTTTGTCGTCGCGCTGCACAAGGATGCAGACATTTTGTATGGTGCCGTTTTCGCAGCACGTGGCATGCGCGCAGCGTAAAATGGAATAACATCCATCTACACCCTCGGTGTCTCATGGACACGAAACGGGCTGCACGCACAGAACGGCAAAAAAGACTCTAGCTACAGACGCCGGTAGTCATTTACCACGAGAGGCGCCGGCGTCGCACCATTGCTCTCGGAGTAGCACACGATACGCGGCCTTCATCATGCACGGCGCCTCGTCCCAGAAACGACACGGAGAAATCCAGCAGCGTCAATGACGCCGCCATGACCACGGCAAAGGCAGCTAAAAGGCAACTAACAGGCAACGAAAATGCGACTAAAAGGCAATGAAAAGGATACTAAAAGCAAGGGTATATAATAATTTATTATATACCCTTGCTAAAAGGCAACTAAAAGGCGACTAAGATAATACTAGAAGTCTACTAAAAGGCGACTAAGATAATAATTAAAGTATACTAAACGGCGACTAAACGGCGACTAAACGGCGACTAAAAGGCGACTAAAATGCAACTAAAAGGCGGGGGTATATGCAGCAAACGGGTAGCAAATCGATAGCGAAAAACTCTTTGTGGAATCCGTTTGCATTCGCTTTGCGATCCATTGTGCCTTGATTTGATAGCGTTTTGCGTTGTTTTGTTCTCGCAATGATGTTGGTTGCGTATGGACCCTCACAGGTCGATTGGTGCGATATTGCCATTTAGAGACAAGATGAAACTATGTGCGTCTCATCAGAGAAAGGTAGAAAAGTCATCTTCAACTCTTAGTCGTACGTGCTTGAACAAACGCGGCAGCACAGAGGTGAGGAAGACGAAGAAGACAACAGCCACGGTTGCGCAATGTCGTCAGGGTCGTCGAGGTGGCGGACGTACTGGAACCCTCGGGGTTGGGTCTGTTCGTGTCGTTCTCGCTCGACGCTCGGTGGCATACCCTGGAGCAAGACGATGTCGGCTCCGAGATTGTTCAAGGACAAGGAACTACCTGGTATCATACAGCTTCGGCGCCAGCGCCGTCACTTGTGTCCACGTCGTCTTCAGCGTAAAAGATGACGATGGCCGCACCCTACGATTCGATCGATGAGAAAGGATATATCCCAACATCCGAACAGTCCTACGGCGGCGATCAGAAGCGCCATGGCGCCAAAGTAGGGCAAGCCAATTACAAGTGCCGAATACCCAAGGTCAGCGTCCAGTTGCCGCGTGAGCAGCGCCAAGGACGCGGCGGGTGCGAGGATGCAAACAATCAGCAAGGCGAAGCCGGCGCATGCCAGCCAGTTGGGCGATGACGACGTGTCGTTTTCATCCAGCAAGATAAACATCAGAAGCCCCTATACCGACAAGTTCATTTTGACGCAAATCGATCAAACGACGACGTACAAGAGCCGCAAGCACAAGACCTAGTAGCAGCCACGTGGGTATAAAGACAAAGCCCCAGCCAAAGCCAACGAAGCCATCCAGGCGAAGGAGCACGAGCGCATACTGAATCGTGCACGCGACACTCAGGGCCAAGCAGTCGCTGCACATATCGGCGGCGAGAAGCGGCACGACGAGCACCGTCCACGGCCATCCGACGACATCGTCGAGGCGCAAGGCGACGAGAATGTGGAAGGTAACCAAGCCCATCGCACTGTATAGCGTGCCCCTACGCACAAATCGTTGGAGGCGATCAAGACTAACTGCAGTACTTTGACAGGAAAGGCTTGGCGGCCGCGTCACTGTTGTCGTTGCTGGCGCCGACGGCAACATCGCCGCTCGCGCTTGCGACCACCTCGGTGCTCACGTCCGGCGCCGTGGCGTTTTTGGAACTGGCAGCATCGTCGGTCGGGGCAGCAGCCTCCTCATCGGCTTCGCGGCTGCTGCTTACCTCGGTGGTAGCGTCAAGAACGACCGTGGCGTCGTCACTGGTCGTAGCGTGCAGTGGTGTGGTTGGTGACTCGGGCGGCGAAGGGTCCGTGATCACATCCACGAGAATGAGAAGCACGAAGTCCGTGATCCAAAGCGGCGTCAGCGTTGCGGCCCAAGATGCCGTGAAGACGCCGTCGGCTTTGAGACATACGAGGACTAGGCACAGAAGTGGCAGCTAGCGCACGACACTTGTCGACGTGTACCTGGGAGGAGCACGAGCGGGATACCGACGACGACCACGCAGAGAACGTAGAGGCAGAGCAGGATTCGCTGCACGGGGTCGGTGCGCAGGCTTGAAGCAACAAAGGTGCTTATCACGACCATGTCGAAGAAGCTGGTGACCAAGTCGTCGACTTGGTCCGTGCCGATGGCCGGCAACGCCACCGCGGTCGCCATTTGCACTTTGCTGCTCGATTGTGGCAGCGTCGATGCCATTGGCCCGATTTCAGCCAATCATGCGCGCGTGGTGAATTATGATTTTTGAACAGCTCTCCAGCAGCTCTCCCGCCATGACACGTGCCACGTACTGTAGTATGTACGTAGTTCCCGTGCTGCTTGTAGATGCTCTTGATTGCCAATATGCTGCTCGTTCATTGCCTGGCTAGTGCCCACGTACTCACGCTCGGAAGCGGCCGTCGACGCGGCGTCAAGTGCTGCCACGCGCGTCGTCGCCGCCCGCAGTTGGAGGGCGAGCTGTTCGTTGGAGGCGGCCAGTGCGTCACGCTCGGCAATCACGTCACGCAGCGCGTTTTGGGCAGTGGTGGCCTCTTGGGCGCATGCTGCAAGGACTCGCTTGGACTGAAATAGCTGGATCGGGACGTATTTGGCAGCCGAATCGGCCGCTGCCATCGCCATTTCATGCTCGTGTCGACGGCCAACTAGCGTTGCAAGGGCCGCTGCAGCGAGACCCTTGGCGGCCATCGTCTCTTTTTCAGCGTGGACCAGTCGAATCTTGAACGTCGCGGCGGTCGAGGTCGCCGTTCGGTCGAGCGCCTTGTGTTCTTTCTGGAGCTTGCTGTGCGCGGTGCGAATCGCTTTCAAGTCGCGCTGGGCGACCTTGCTCGCGCGGTGCAGTTGAATTTTGGTCTGATACGGCTCGACCTTGAGGTCGGCGCTGATCTCGGTCGCCGTTACGCTGGACCCGCGCGGCTTCGAGGAGCGCTGCAACTGTTGTGGTGAGGTCGGTCATGGTTGATTCTTTGGCGGCGACTGCAGTGTGCAGCGTCTGGATCGTCTGAGCACTGTCGAGCAGCGGACAGAGCTTGGTGTCGTACATGTCCTTGGCAGCCGCCAAGAGCTTGTAGGCAGAGCGACAGAGGACGAGAAGCACGCGGCGCATCGGGAGGCCCGCGCCGAGGTAGCGCTGCGGTTTGGCGCTCGGGCGCGGAATATAGAGCGTGAGGAAGCCAAGCGTCGAGGTTGTCATCGTGGTGGGGCGAGTCATTTTCGTGAATGGAAAAGTTGTGTCGACTGCCAAGAGCACCAAGAGAAAAGCGGCGTTGAGCCTTTTCTGTGACAATCTTTGCGTAGCAAAGCACTGGCTGTTGCACTCTGTTTCTGCGTACTGCCATAGTGGTGGCTGTATATGTTGCTTTACAGCCGTCTTCGCCTACTGCGTCGCGAAAATATGTGCTAGGTCTACAGGGGTTAAGGTACAGAGGCGTCGTTCTTTCTATTGTTTGCCGTGCGGTATCCACGTCGCTCGAGATCGAGAGACCACCAAGACGTGTGGGGCAGTGGATTATACAGTGTTTGCTATCAACGGCTGGAATACCTTGGGTCCACGGATCCAAAAAGCACTGAGACAGCGTCCACTCAAAGAAAAAGCAACGACGCGTATGCATTTGGGAATGAATCGCAGCGACTACGTGGCGCGCTTGGCGGTGAGCAGCTGCACGAGCGATGCGACAGTGGCTTCGAGGCGCGCGACTTGGTCTGAAAGTATCGCGAGCCGCTCGTCGGACGAGAGCTCGTCCGGCCGAAACCCGAGGCGGCTTTCTTCGGCGGCGCCGAAGACGAGGCTGTGGCCATGGTCCATTGCAACGTCGTCGTCATCGTCGTCGTCGCCCGTGTAGAGTCCACGGCTCGACTCGATGAGCGGCGCGACCTCCATCGGTTTGATTTCAGTGCGCACAGGCAGTGGCACGAGGCCTTGCGTCTTCTCACTGCGCAAGACGCACTCGGCAAAGCTCACGAGGGCCTCTCGCTTGGCCTTCTCCATGCGCGCCTCAACGCCCTTCGTCATCATGGCGATGAGGACGTTGAGGAGCATGACCATCACCAGCGTCGCGTGGGTGAGCAGAAGCGTGTAGCCCAGCAGGACCGCGCTCGTCGTTGGCAGAGCGGCGAAATCCGATGCATCAAACTGCTGCAGTAGCACGAGGAACGTCTGGAGAAAGCTCTTGGGCAGCGAGTCGTACGGCGACGTCTCGGGAAGGCTCTGGAAGAGGAGGTAGTAGGCAAAGCCAAAGGCGAGCTGGAACGGAAGGTAGAACGCGAGGAAGCGGAACACGTCCAGGAGCATCGCACGCATCATGGGAATCAAGAACCCCGCCGTGCCATGGACCTCGAGGTACTGAACGCTGAGGGCCCAGAGCAGAAACGTCAAGATCGTTCCAAAGACGAGCTGGTGGACGTTGCCAGCATCCGGCGATGTGACGAGCTGCGCGATCGCATACCCTGTGACGACGAAGAACGTGGGCATCTGCAGCGCATTAAAGAACGAGCTGTAGTACGTCGCGTCGCTGCGCCCGAGTAGCATCAATGCAAACTGACTCAGTACGTCAAAAGGCGCAATACACACCCAGTAGGCGCCACGCTGGAGCCAAAGCGGCCAGCTTGCAACGTGCACCACGCGCGACTCAGCGGGCACTTCCCCAAAGAGCTCGGCGAGCTCAAAGAGCAAAAAGTACGCGCCCGAGAGAAGCAGCGTCACGTGGTTGCAAGAGACAAAGGTGGCATAGTCGAAGAACGCTTCAACGGCTGCACTATTGGCGTAGAGGACGCCGCCAACGACGGCGCAGAGGCTGCTCGTGACGAGGCACCAGAGCTCCTTGCGCCGATATGAGAAGACGCGGCACGCGAGAAGACTCAGCAGCAGCGACAGCAGCGCGACCGCCCACACGAGCACTTGGACAGGAAACGCGTCGGTTGGTCGTCGCGCGTAGCTCGTCGCCACCGAGAGCGTCATCGAGAGCAAGAGCACGCCGTACATGAGGAGCTGCTCGAGGTACATGCGCATGCCGAACGCCTAAACGATACATAAGTGCAAGGCACGTGAAGCACGCGTACCTCCCACTTCATTTGAATCACAGCACGCATGACAGCGTGCTCGAGAAGGGCTTTGGCCTCCTCGCGGCTCCCGGCGAGCGGGCCCTCGAGGATGTGGTACAGCGGCGTCGATCGAAGCTGCGTCTCGCCGTACACTTGCCGGATCTAGGAGCGAGCATGGTGCGGCGGCATAGAGGTGCATGATGCGGTACCTCGGCTTCGTGACCGATGCACTTGGTGAGCTCCGCCTTGGCCTTATCAAGCTTACCGGCCTTGAGCGCGGCGCTGAATGAGTGCAGGTCAAAGGGCTTGGTGGGCGGTGGCGGCATGGCGACGTGTGCAGTCGTTTGACCAAGGCGATCTGTCGGCTTGCCGTCCATACGAGCCGCAGAGAAGGCAAATTCGCGTTAGAACAGCGTATCTTGTGTTACACCACCCTGAATTGGAATCTAACCCCATCTAACACCGTGTTGGGCTACCATAACACACTTATCTATGATGTTATAGCGATATTGGCGTGCCATCGCGTCAACAGCCAGCACAGGTCCATGACGTGGCGCTCAGAGAGGGCGCCAATGGAATAAAATAACCCTTGATACCAATAGTAGTACGCTTTAAAATAAAAGTATAAAAATGCACCAGTTGAAGGTCATGGCAGTACATGACGCCGAATCATCGAGGGACACAGGTCATCGCACGTACAGCTGCTGTGTACACTCTGGTAAAGCTCCAAGGGCTCCAAGGTTGTGGATTAGCCAGAAGTTGCGCTCGCAGAGAGGTGTCATCGGACGGACGCAGTGGCGGTGCTTGGCCGCATGCAGGGGCTTACTCTACTACGAGGTCGAGAACACATCGCGTTGGCTCTCGCAAAGTATATTACTAGAGTCCTTTCTATGGGCCCTTGCATACAAACAACTTGTTGATGCATATCACGTCGCGGTCCAGACACGCGGCAACGGTGTCGCTTCCCGTACTGTAGATGCCCGCACTCGTTGAAGGTACCCAGCCATTGGCAGCTGGAGCGTCCACTTCGAAGACAGGGCGACGCACTTTTGAATCCTCGCCTGATGGCCGACGCCTTCTCCCACGAAGCGTTCCGGCGCAGCCTCCAGCGCGACTTTGACCTGTCGGCCGCGATCGCCGAGCTCAACAAGTGTCTCGCCCAGCCACGGCAGGTCGCGATGCCAGACGACGACGATTTTCTTGTGCTTACCTGGAGAATGACTAGGTATTTGACGTCTACAACGGCCTCGACGACGACGTGAGCCACACGCCGCTCTTTTACATCCTGGATGCCGACCCGCGCGTCCAGCGCAAGCTCGACCCCACGCAGCTCTTGCAGCATCCCGTGCTCCGCCAAGTCATTGCAATGAAATGGCAGGTGCGAAGTCGCCGATCGTTTCAATGGGATGGATGCTGATGCGCGCTCGCGACTAGAACTTTGGGCTTCGGCGGTACACCGAACAACTCGTCATGTACACGCTCTTGCTGCTCTCGATGGGGCTCACGACCACCGAGTCGTACGCACCGGAGTTCATCGCCCTTGAGATGGCACTTGCGCTCGTCTACGTGGCGTGCCGAGGCTTGCGCTACCCGACGCGGCACTGTTTCGCGATTGCAACCGCCTTTCTTGTCGCCCTCGTCGTCGCCACGCTCCCGCCGGCGCTCGAGGCCCATGCGTCGCATGCCGTCCTCGCCACCATGACGCACGTCGTGCTGCTTCTCTCAGCGCTGTACTTTGCTGTCTTTGAGCTCAACGAGATGTTTGCTGAAGTTGACCCGTCCAACCGCGAGCTCGACTTGGGCTGTGCAAGCCCATTGCTCAAGAAAGTCCTCTACTATGCACTCTTTTGCCCGATTTCGGTCGTTGTGCAATTTGTGTTGCTGCTCTGCGGTGCGAGCGACGCCAAGTACTTTGCGGCCTCGGATTTCAACAAATTGCAGCTGCCAGCGTTTGTCGCCACTTGCGTCGTCGCGGGCAGTGCGCTGCAAGGCACGCATCTAAGTTCGCTGAGCCTCTCGCTCCAGCTCGTGCTCTGGGTGCTCTCGCTGCAGTACTTTGAAGTCCACGCCGTCCTTGGCGTCTACGTCCACCTCCTCAAGCGCATGCTGCGTCAAGTGCTCGCGGTCCTCGTACTCTACGTACCGTGCCACATTGGCTTGACGCTTGGCTACACGCAACTCTTTCAGCA